GCTGGGTCGGGAGCGCGGCGGGGGGAGCGGAGGCGCCTTCGTGCTCACTGCCTCGGTAATGTTGCTGCTGACCGTTAATAAAACTTGGAATTAATTGTGGGTGATACTTGTGGATGTGAGTAGCTGTACATCACAGGTTCATTAGGAGCAGCATACACGTATGCTTTCAAAAAATGCATCTTTTCGGTTACAAATCAGCTCTCTTTAAAATAGCATAAAATCTTAAAAGGTAAGTAGTGTTCCTTTTCGTAAATCGCACATTGCAGGAATGAATTGTTTTATCAGTTACAAAAAAAACAAACCCTCAGATCCTTCTGTCTCTTCAAACACTAAGGAGAAAATCAGAAGGAATTTCTTGTACGATGGCCTCTTATTTTACAGGGACTTTGCTGCAGACAGACTGCACGTGAAGCAAACACACACAACACTCCCCTCCCTCCTTCCCTCCCTCCAGATATTTTTGTACTGGTCGAGAAAAACAAGGGTTAAATATCCTCCCTTCTTATTCCTCCCATAGGGTGAGTAAGGAGTGTGGAGTCTAATGACACACAGTATCTTTCTATTACAGGCGTGGGCTGATTGTTGGGGGCTAAAATGTAAAAAAGAGATGAGATTTAATGAGGCAGACAGCTTCTCTTCGGTGTTATGTTTTGCAAGGATAAGACAGATTCTCATCCCAGTTTGTGTCTGGAAGTTCAGGAGCAAAGGTAAGGCAGTTTACAGAGAAGGATGCAGCCGTGTGGATTTTAGGCTTTTAGTACAGGTGAAAGTAACTAGCATAAGGAAAATATGATCTTGACATTAAGTAGCGTGAACTAAAAAGGCTAATTAATACAATTGGGGGGGGGGGTGAAGCACTGCTACAATATACTGGATGAATGCAAATTAGCACAGAAACTGAGAGAAGAGACAGAAGAAATACAGTGAGGGTGCCATAGAGAACAACAACATGGCCATGGACCTCTGCTTGCAGCGTTTCTCAGGTTGGAGCTTGGAATGATGTCCTCAAAGTGCTAAAGGTTGGGTTTTGTCTTTTTTTTTTTTTTTTCTCCTTAACCCTTAAAACAAGACCCCAAACCAAAACCATCAACCAATGTGTGAATTAAAAAAAAAAAAGGGGGGGAGGAGGGCAAATAAAGTAAGTGCGTTTTGCTAAGAACGTCACTTTTGAAGAGAATGTGCTAGCTATGGTCACGTGTGGCTTTTCTTACTGGAACGGTTAGAGACACCTTCGCTCATACATAGTTTGTGTAGTGGTGCGTGTATCTGTAAGATACATGATGAATGTGCAAGTGAGTTGCAAAAATACAGTATATAGCATTTGTAGCTAACCATATTCAAAATGCCGTTTTTTTTAGTTCTATGAATGAATTATCAGGAAAAAAGCAGTATTGCCTGGGCAAAGAATATTTAAGCCATTTGAGGTGTGTGGGCATTATGACTCTGGGGCTTCTCAAAATAATAACTCCTTAAGCAGTTGTATTTCCTTTCCTGCCAAGTGTATCCTAAATGCAAAAGGCCGTGTGTACTCCAGCCTTCCCACCGGTTCCATTAAGTGGAAAGGAATGGAAGGACTGTGTCCTGTTCGGCTCTCGGTTGTGGTCGTAGGATATTGAAGCATACTCGCACAGATCTGGACTTGTAATTACAACATTGATTACTGGTTACATATATAGTGAAACTGAATGACAAATATAAGGTTATAAAACGAACTGAATATCAATATTGATTGCTTTTGTAGCAGTCCCTGTGTTCTCATGTTTTCCTTGGGTTTGCTCATGATCCTATGTTTGCATGGGTTTTTTAATAGACGTACCTATTCTGAACCAAATTGTGTTTTCGAAGTTATCTAACTATTACCTTTTAATATTTCAGGTTACCTGTGCATTTGCTTTCTATTACTTTCTGTTATACCTTAGTTCTATTAAACCTTTGATTTAACCCTTTTGGTTAAACTTGCGGTCAGTTGAGAGGCTAGTAACCTCTCTAATTGAGTTCTGAAAATTTGATTAAAAAATCTTTTCCTCTTTAAAAATTTTTGATATTTTTCTGGATTTCTGTTTCTCTCTGGTACATAAAGCAGCAAGTGTACACACTGATTCTTTTTCTTTAAAGATTAAACTTCTAGGTGTTAATGTTCTTTAAAATAACGTGGAATGATGTGGCAAGATGTCTTCCATTGACATCCAGACAAGCAAATAACTATAAGTGTAAGTTCTTGATGAGATTAAGCTGACTGCAAGAACTGCTGCAAAAGCAGTGACCTTTTCTCTCTACCCTTCCCCCTAGCCCCCAAAGTGTGATTTGATATTGTAGCCCTCTCTCATACCAAGTCAAGTGCTTGAGCTGCTGCTTGGTGAAAGCAAGCCATTTATTTATTTTCTCAGAGTTCATTTCTAGCTGGATCAATAAACTGGACTGCCATGTCGAACGTTGGTGTGACACAAGGAGGATGCAGGAATGTATGCCAGGAAATAGGATGGCTGGAACTGTCCTTTCTGGCAGCAGTGAGCTGTTTGAATGGTTGGTGTTAATTGTGAACTCATGCCTGGAGTACACTTGCATGAAGCCTTGAAAATATCTCTAAGAACATTACCTTTAGATGTGCAGTGATTAGGTTCAGTGAGTATATTTTGTTTATGCTTAGTGCAAGGTAAAGAATACTCAGTCTTACAGCCTTACTGATGTCATTGATTAAAATCCTCGTGGCCAGCTTCATTAGTAGTTTCAGGCTGTGTCTTGCACTTGGTTTCCAATATGTTTAATAAAAAAGGGCCAACCTTTGGGAACGCTTTCAAGTATCCATAAAGCATGCAAAAGCAGCATAGTCATACGGACCTAGTGACATAGCAGAAACATCAGTGGGAGGTTACCATGCTCTTCAGTGAGAGCAGAATTGAGCCCACTGGTAGTTTCTGACTTCTGTAATTTTAAGTCTTCATCTTGGAATAGCACGTTCATTTTAACTCCAAGGTTGAGAGTATACCTGTTGAATGCGCTGGAGATAAAGTAGTGTTTAAAGCTCACTGCATCTGCAAATATTTGCAGAGGTGGAGTGTACTAGATCATTCATGTATCATATATTTTCCAGCTGGATTTTGTAAACTTTAAAAAACAAATTCTTGTTATGTTACGTAGAATTAGGCTAGTCTCATTATTGTGTGAGACTGAAATACGGTAGTTTGTCTTAGGTTCATTTAAAAAGTAATCACATTTGTGTGTATATATATATATATATAAACCATACGTTAATATAAAGAGAAGATAACGGTCTGCTTTACGTAGTTACATTAAGAAAGGAGAAACTGGGGATTTAAAGCCCAGTCTTGAAATTGTGTCTTTGTGAAGCTGCCCCATCCAGTTCAGCTTGAGGCTCTAGTTACGTACCCTGTGTCAAGAGAGGATCTAGTTTCAGGGTTAAGGTGATGAACGAACTGGAGGGAAATTTAGCTTGTTCTCCTGAAGTGGAATTGGCTGTGGGACTCTAGTGGAAGAGTACAAGTGACTTGACTGGATTTTGAATAAAAATATTGTATGTTTTAGATGATGTGGTAATGGAACTATTTTGTTTGAAATCTTAAGAAAAAAATTATTCGGAAAAAAATTCTTCAGAATAATTCATAGAGTTCACTGAATTCTCTGCTTTTGTTTCTGGGCAACATTTATTACCCATCTTTCTAATATGTGTCAAGGAAGCTAATTTATACTGTGGAATCAGCAACTCCACCTTGAAAATGCTAATCTTTATATGAAATCTTATTAATTAGTAATGTTGTAACATAAAAGTATAATATGCTTATTTGCCTCAAGTTTGTTGTGATGTTGTGTTGTGAGAATACTTGATTTCAAAGGAATTATTTCACTTGTAGTGTTCAAAAATATATGTATGTGATATATATGTATATATACACACACATCTATAGACAGACTGTTGGTTTTGTATATATGCTACATAAAACAAACCTTGGTGTAGATTTGCTTCCTTACTCATTTCTATTTTTATTTATTTTTTAAGTAAAACTCCTTCTTGCTGTGAGAGGAGGGCATATATGCTAGAATGTTGGTTTTTTGGAATGTAAAATTTGAGTGCTTCTGATTTACCCTCTCCCCACCCAACACCATTGATTCCTAAGGGTTAAAATGGTTTAGCTTCAGTTTTACCAAATAAATCGTGTTAGGTAGACGTTAAGTGCCAGTTTTTGGCAAAGGTACGCGTAGATGCTTCAGGAACATGAAGAATCCCGGTGAGTTCATGTTACTATTTCCATGCATGCAAGTCTCTGCCTGCCTTCTGGTTGAATTGGGGCCCTCATCCTGATTAGGAATGATGTTGTATGAGCTAATGGGTAGGGAAGTAATCTGTTGGAGTAGTGTTCTCTTTTGAACTGATAGAACTAATGGAAAAAAAAAAAAGAGTGATGAATCATGCATGTTGACATTTCAGCTGTTACCAGTATATGTTATTTATTTGTCCTTTATGAAAAGAACATATTGGTGACTGAAGGAATATCCTTTAGAGTAGACTGATAGTGCTGTGGTGTGAAGACTGGAGTTGCTTTTAATTTTGCTGTTTGACTGTGGAGTGATGTGTTGTTAAGAGATCTTTCATGATTTCAGAGTACCGTTACTCAATGTCTTTTGCTTGTATTTATTGAGAAATAATGAAGTAAATGGTATATGTCCAAAGTTAAGATCCAGTATTGCAAAAATCACATTATATGAGTAATCCCTTTTTTTGCACCACAGCCAGTTCCATTCATGTTGCCTCATTTCACATAAGTTACTGAAAAGTCATCTGATTAGCATTTCTAACCTTATTACGCTGGTCGAAGTGGAGAAGGCTCAGAGCTGTGTTTGTTCCTGTGCCGAGCTGCAAGGATATGCAAATAGCAAATGTTGGTCTGCTGTTGTCCAAGCCTTTTCGAAGCTTGGGCAGATGGAGGTAGACTTTCTCACTGCTGTCCAAGTTTTTGGATTTAGAAGTTTATGGTCATCTGTTTTAGACGGGTTGTATATAAGACAGCAGAGAAGCGATCATCATGAGTTATTTCTCTTTACATCCTGTTTTCCACATCTTCAGTTTTTTGCCATTGAGAGAGGTGACTTGGTTTTCAGCAGGCAGTGACGTTATACAAATTTCTGTTGTGTAACGCTTCAAACCTGAAGTTTGTATAAATGCGTCACTGACTGCTGAAATATTGCTGAATAGTTGGTGAACTGTGTCTTTTACAGTAACCTATGAGGTTTTTTTAAAGATTATAAATCAGAATAGTGTGAACAGAGCGGTTGAGGTCATGCTCCCAAATAACTGTGAATAGGGGAAAATGTGTTTTTCTTTGAGTCCCTCCCCTTTAATGGTAGGGGAGTGTTTGACTGTCTAATATTAAAATTCAACCATAATTAGCAACTAAAGCTGATGTAAACGATCTCAATTTTGTAGCCTGAAGATGAAAGGGTTACTTTTAATGAAAAAAGTTATTTTGGATAGGTGACTTCTTATTTGCCATACAAGTCACATTGGCAATTTCTTACTAATTAGCAAGGATGAGAAAAGAAATGGCTAATTTGTATTTGTGATAGGGGATCTTCCCGTTTATCTACTTATATATTGTTAGGTGTTTTGGCTGCTTAGTTATTTTATTTTTCCCTTCATGCCTGAAATGTTTTCCAGGGCAGGTAGAATAATATTTTGGCAGATTGCTGCTAT